ATTCAAACGCGACAAAAACATAGGCAATTTTTTGGTCAGAAGTTCTTTTCAGACTAATGACCATGCAACCAGACACTTTTAAATGCGCTCTTGCACGATGCAAAACGTGTCCTTTCATTCACAACACTGATAAAATATCGGGACCCAAACGATCCATTAAGATCACCGATCACTTCACGTGCACCTCCGCCAAAGTAATCTATTGCATAACTTGCACTTATTGCAAAAAGATATACATCGGGGAAACAGGCAGAAAACTGGGTGACCGATTCCGAGAACACCTTCGCGACGTGGAAAGGAATGACAAGGACACATCGAAACCAGTCGCTAGACATTTTAATTTACCTAATCATTCTAAGCAACATATGGCAATCTGCTGTCTTTCCTTACACTTTGGTAGCACGAAAAGCCGTAAAACTCTTGAACAAAAGCTCATCTTTCAAACCGACAGTCTGAATCCCACAGGGATCAACGAACGCTTTTCATTCCACTAATTTATTCGCGTCTTTCTCGTTACCATGTTCCCACGTAGCTCCATTTCTGCCTTTAATAGCACACACAACCCACAATTCCTCTATTCGCTCCGACGAAGGGCTAACGCTCGAAACGTCAGCTTTTGCAATCGTTACGGTGGCCAATTTACCATTTCAACTTTGTTGATATATCCAAATTATTTCCTTACGTAACTTAGCCGAGCATAGACTGGAACCTATCCTTGACGGTAGTAAACCACGTGACAAGCGCTTTGCTCACCGTGACAAATACAGTCAGCCAGCCAGCCAGCCAGCCAGCCAGGAATAAATATCTTGGATCATGACACTGAGTGCTGTTTACACTTCATGTAAAGCCAAACAAAAATCAGGGTCATCACCACATAAACGACAAAGTCTTAGAAATTGAGAAAAGGAAATAGAATTCTTGACATGAGATGGATCCAGACAATAAATACGATAGCTTTAACAAGACTCCACCTTTCTCCACATCTGTTATGAAAACAAAAAAAACAAAAAAGAGACAGGAGAATACAGCTCAGTTTTTTTACTGTAAGTTTTCTTTTCAGGCGATTAATTTCTTTTGAAAGCGCCTCAACTAGCCTTCGATTTAGCCAATAGTCTACGTCCCATCACCATGGAGAGTTGTCTTTGCTTTGGGAAAACAATCACTCTTTAGATTTGATAAGAACTACCAATTAAGAGCCCAAAAAATACAATGCAAAATTACTTTTCAAGCCTAAGGTATAAAAAAAACATCAGCAGTGTGATTTATCCATTATAGTCAAGCTGAATTTTGCTCTCGCAACCCTTTCAATTGAAGTCGATCTCGAGGTGTGCACTCGTTCGATTTTGAGTGTGAGACAAAATTTCCTTCAAACTGTTACAAATTTGCTAAAAGTGAGGTTTTGTGACGCTAATTGTGGTAACTTCTTTATTTCTCCGTTGCTTGTAGAGGATGTATTCCAAGAGGTTGGCAGTTATTGAGGTCACAGAGAATTTCCTATCCTGCCGAGCAAACGAGGACATCAAAGAAGGATCCTTTCTGACTGATCTCTGGGGTAAAGTCAGCGAAACGGCGACCAGGTATACAGTGCAAGTTGGAAAAAACAAGCACGTGGAACCCGAAGGGGTGATCAAGTACATGAACCATTCTTGTGACAGAAAAGCAACATTCATCTATAAAAGACGCAAAGATGTCAATCCTTTCTCGGGTAAAAGCCAGGAGGTCTTTTGGTTCATGGTGGCTGCTTGTGATATTAAGAAAGGCGAAGATATCACGTTTGACTACAATGTGACAGAGTATGAAGTTGCGGAGCGATTTCGTTGCAATTGTGGGGCGGTGAAATGTCTTGGTGAGATTAAAGGCTTTAAGTTTTTGACGCCGGAGCAGCAGAAGTCCAGGGAAAGTGAATTATCTCCTGTTTTAAAAAAACTTTGGCAAGAACCTTGAGCTTAATTACCTTATTGGTATTGTGAAGGAGTCGGAGGTGACTATATTTCCTCTATTTTCATTATTTCTTGCTTTTTTTGGTTCCTTCGGGGCTCGAAATTGAAGTATGTGGGCGTTTTAGATGTTAAACGATCGAATAAGGTTGTACCATTATCAAACAACATAATATTGGGGAGATAATGTGCTTCTTTCAAAATAAAGTAATAAATACCTCACATGTCTGGTTTTTATTTCGGGTAGGGTTTTCAACGACAAAAAAGAAAGATATACCATCACGCATTGGGATCACATCGTTGGTTTTGTAAAGAGCGGTATCCCTTAGATACACCTCAGTAATCGATTCTTCAGTTTTTTCCACCCATTTTGTACAACAGTCGAACCTGTATTAAAGACACGGTCGGTCTTGAAAGTTCCGAAATTATTATCCACGAACTACTGAAATGAAACCAACAATAATCTCGCAAGTAAAATTTAATCCATATTAATCTCCCGATATCAAGGTTGGCAATATTTTTAACGAAATTTTATACATTCAGTGGTCAATTATGGCATAACGGAGACGTTTTTTAATGTTTCCTCAAAATATCCTATTCTTTAGAGGTGACTATATCTTCTTTGTTTTCATGATGTCTTATTAACTCACCATTGCGTGGAATTTCTATTTGTCAAGGAACATTCACTTCCACAACGCCGATCTGTAATATTGAAGGCGACACGTAATCCAAAGAATTTTGATTGGTCAAAGAATGCGCACGCTTTCCCCGCAGGGAGTTTATAATACTTAAATCATTAACATGAGAATTGTAAATATAGCAAACACGTACGTGCTAAGTTGACTAAGGCAAATAAGTGTCTGAAGGTTTCAGTCAAAGTGAAGTAGACCACCTATTTAGCGCCTTAGTTTTACCAAATTTCACTTATGGTGTGCCTGTTTATGGCGCTATAGACTCAGATCTCATGGTCATACAAAACTTTCTGGACAGATGCGCTGAAAGGAAAAACATATCTAAGAGAATGAACATTCGAGAATTTTTAGAAAATGCAGATAAGAAGATTTTTAAGATACGTTCAGTGGAGCCCGCTTAGTAATAAGGAATCTGTTTTGCCCAACTCCTACCTGAGTTGGGCAAACCAAGATTTTTACAAAAGTGGATTGGAAGGATGGTCACTGGCAGATACTGAAAGAATACCTTAATGAGCTTGAAGCTAAAGGGGTCATAGAGAAAGTACAGAGACCTACTGAATGGGTGAACTCTATTGTAATTGCAAGGAAAAGCAATGGCAAGCTCCGCCTTTGCCTAGACCTCAAGCCCCTCAACAAAGCACTAAAGAGATGCCATTTTCCAATGTCAGTGATTGAGGACATCCCACTCCTGACACCATGTTTCAAGTCTTTATTCAACAGCTAAAGCAGAAATCCGAAGGAAGAGAGAAACGTGCAGATGCCGAGTTCCTTTTAAATACACGATCAACTAATTAACATATCACGACCTAAGGGAGTTAACATCACGCTTTCGAGCATGCATTTACATATCTTAACAGAGGTGACTATATTTCCCTTGTTTTCATTATTTCTTGCTTCCTTTGGGGCTCGAAATTAAAATATGTGGGCGTATTTTGATGTTAAACCCGTCATACCGAACTTTCTGGACAGACAAGTTAAAAGGAAATACACATTTAAGAGAATGGACATTCGAGAACTTTAAGAAAAGGCAGCTAAGAAGAATTTTTAAGGAACGCTCAGTGGATCCCGATTGCCCGCTTGGTAATATCATTCCAAAGAAGAAAGAAATAAAGTACCAACTCAGAAACAAAAGTACTGATCGCCTGGATATAAAGACTGACAGATTCAAGCATGTTTTTGTAAAAAGGCTTATTTTTAAATATAATCTTTGATCTTTCTATTATTTGTATAGAGTATCTCTATGCATTTTTATCTGTCTATTGTATGTCTAATGTATTTTTAGACTACTTACTGCTGATGTAACTTAGGACATGTCTTTTTCTCTTAGGAGGAATAAAGAAGGATTGATTGATTGATTGATTGATTGATGTCAAGGCGGAGTTTAGAAACAAAAGGCTTAGAGAGTTATTGTTTTAGGAAAAATCACACACGCGCCATCTTTAGGGTTAACAGATACTCAGTGTTACAACAAATTTTAGGGCCAGCGGTCCATCCGCATACCAGGCTTCAGTTGCGTTGGTATTTATGTTTTGAGTTTTCGCGCGAATAAATGTCATTGATGTTATGTAGTTTGTCGTCATCTGATCGTTATGCTGCATTTCGTGTCTGTTTAGATATCCAAACCGCCAGGTAGGTTTACTTTGTCATTTCGCCGGTTTTCTTTCGTTTTGTTGCCGCTTTATTGTCGGTAGGTAGCTTTTGTGTAATTTAACATAATTCTGTTTCAGAAACGACTAGGTGGCTACGAATAAATTGTAAGGCTCGTGTAACCTTAGAGAAATGTTGCCAGCGCGTGCGTTACACTTAAACTTCCTCTTGTAATCCTTATAAACTAATCCTTACTCTTTCTATGCTCGCTCTTGAGTCTCCATCTTATTGCTTCTGGAAATCTGGAAAGCGAGTTTTAACAAAACTGCTGTTGTAGTTTCGGCCCTTTTTTCTCTGTATTCTGACCTTTTCAAATTTGCCTGCTTCAGTGGTTATGAATGATATACGATGTTCGGATCTTCCGCGCGATAGTCAAAGCACAAGCTCATTGCTGGTGATCTTTCACGCAAGTGACACCTTATTTTTTATCTCATTTTTTTACGACGATCAGAAAACTAACCAATATATCAAACTTCCTTTACACAGAACATGTCTGATAGTAAAGGGGCTGGGGGTGGGGGAGGGTCTTGATCCCGTTTCACGCACGAACATTGGAGAAATTCATGCGTCACGTATATAACGGGAAAACTTAACAAAAAGGGAAAACTTTAAATTCCAGAAAAATCTTGAGATTTTCACGGGTCACGTATGATTCAGTAGGCAAATCAAGCTCCACGCTGTTTCATAAATTTAGGAATCACGCTCGCCTTTCTGTAATATTCACACGTTGCTTATAGAGCTGGCCTTAATCACTGATTAAGCGTGGCACACTTCATGTATAAATCCTTTGCTAGCCTCGAACTAGTCTCCCTCGCAGCCGTTTTTAGTCTCGTCACGCAACGCTTCTCCCCACAAACGGCTGCTCACATTCGAACAACATTCCTTTCCCTTTGTTGTCTTTGCACCAATGAGATCGCTGACATTGTTTCTTATGCGACCAATCAGAGCACAAGAGA